CTTCTCCCATCCACAAAAAGGAATGTACTACAATTTACTTGATGAAAAGGATATGCTTTTGGCAAGCAAAACAAACACTGATATTCAATTCAATGATAAATACAATGGGCTTAATAAATTGAGTGGAAATGAATTTGAAGCAAATGAACTCAACAAAACGACGGTTTGGAGGGAAAAAGACCGAGTCGTTTCAATGACTCAAAGTAATCCCAAGGAGTTAGTAGTGATCTCTCGCAATGAGAATGGAAAAGATGTGTATTTTTTTGAATCAAAGAATAGAGCAACGCACATCACTGATTTGGAATTTTCCGTGCCACAAATTACATATTTACAAAACACAGTGAAAGACCCGCAATCCGTGACTACTTTTATTACACAAAATGAACAAAATGAGACTGCAGAAAATACCAATCTGTTGCAACTTAATATGACTCAAAGAATCACGGAACTCCATACAAAACTCTTAGAGAAACAAAAGAACACCAAAGACTTGAATTATAAAAACGACTGGAAGACAACTCTGTTCAGTTCTCAGTTTTTAAAAGCCCCACAACTCTTCGTCATGAAGGACTCTTCCTTCATCAATACGTTAAGTCAGAACGTCGCGAGTAAAGTGAAGCGTCGGATTTATATCCGAGTCGTCGAGGATGAGCTCAATGAAAGCAATTTAAGAGGCGATGGTGTTTATGAGAAAACACTGAATGTGGTATTCAAGAAAGAAGGAAATGCCTTTGTGGGAAGACACAGAAGAGACGTTTGCGAATTTGTGTATTACACCGGAGAACCAAAGCCAGAAAGTCAAGGCGTTATATTTATTGAATGCGACCTACCAAAGGAAAAACAGAAGGAGGAGTACATCGCCGTGATCAAAAGCGTCGACTGGGAGACGCGGAAAATTCAAATTATCAGTAACAACAAAAAAGAACACGAAAATTTCAGAAGATATAACGCCGTTCGTTCCGTCGTCGAAAGTGAAATGATAAGATTGATGGCACGAAACGCACCGGGCGTCTTTCTGTCTTTGAAAAGTGACGACGTTTTGATGAATGAAAAAATTGATAACGAAATCTCGGAGAATTGGTCGGAACAAATTGTGATGGGAAAGTGTTTTGATAGAGAATT